AAAAAAAAAAAGAATTTTTGAGCTAATGCTAGCTAAAAATAATTATTTTTAAATAATAATAATTTAAATATTTATTTTTGAGTCCGGTGGTAACTTAATTCAAACAAATGAATTTGAATCGAGTTGAGCACAAACAAGCCTTTAACGAATTACTTAGAACAAGAACTTATTTCGAATAGAAATATTTTCGAATGAAAAAAACACGAATAAGAGCTCGGCTTGTTTACACCCCAGCATCTAAATTTTGTTTATCAATAAAATTAACATTTTTATTGAATGAGGTTTTATTATATTAGTTTTAATATTTGGGTGAGATTGTGAAAAATTAATGCAAAAGCACGTCTTTTTTAATAAATATTAATATGGAGGGCTTTAATCAGGTTGAATTAAATGAGAGTTCTCTTGCCCAACTAGCAGCAGTGTAGAGATCTACCTCCCTATTGTCTGATTTCTTAAATATCAACCCTCTATCAGGGGATTCTTTAAGAAATATTAGTATTTTATGAATCATCTGTAAGTGTTATTCATACGGATTTTTCATTACTTGACTCGTGATGCTGACAAAGTAGATAATAGCAAGTTTAGTATGTTATAGATAGAGGAGCTTACCCACCGATCTCTAGTATATACCACTTTCCATCGATGTATTTTCTCTTCATAAATGTAATTTTTAGTTCAACTCAATATAAGTCTCATTAGTTTTACACCCTAGCATTCAAGTCTCATTTGGTAGGTAAAGCAAGAAATTTCTTTGGAATATCATAATACCCATCTAGGACTATGTCACTTCCATGCCCAAAAAGCATATCCCATTGCTCATGGATCCTTAATTTCAAACTAAGTAGCAATAACATCCTTAATATTTTCAATCTCTTTTTCATTATTACATATAAATAATTAGTATCATATCATCTACATAGACAATGAGTATATTATTCTTACGTCCTTGAGTGTGTTTTATGACTATTGTATGCTCCATTTGGCATTGGATGTACCCATTCAATTTCAACTTCTTGAAACCCTTATCAAACCAAGCCTTTGGAGATTGTTTGAGGTCATAAAGTCACATTATTAGTTTACAAATCAGATGTTTGTTCGAGTCATTTTTCAGTCATTATGGGACTTTCATGAACTTTTTTTTTTTCCTTTCAAGCTCTCTATTCAGAAACTTATTCTTGATATAAAGTTTAAATGTAAATACTTATGCAAAAAAATGCCATTTTAAAATTTCATTAAATTATTACATAATAATCATTTATAATTTATTATTTAAATGTAACAATAAAAAATTAATTGACATATTTCAATAAATTTATACTTCATTAATGTGTCATTGAAATCACAAATCCTAAGACAGGCTTCTTTATATAATGTTAAAAATTTGAGTGTTGTGCAAAAAAAATATTATAATTATATTGAATATGAAAATACTTAAAAATTATATGGTGTGTCTGTAAATCCTCATTTTATGAAAATAAAAATACTAAAATGATGTATAGTTTCACTGAACATATATTATATTAATAATATATATTTGTACATAGTTTTTTGTTAAATTCAAATAATGTGACTATATAAAAACAAATGAGACTAATGTGTTACTAGTATTTTTGGTATTGAGTAGATAATACAAAAAAGTACTAAAACAAATATCCTCTAGAAGACACAAGCATCGTGAGTTAAATATCACGGACAAAAACTCTCACATCGGTTAGGTGTAGGGTCGAAAAGCAGTATTTAAATCCTGAGCTATCCATCACTCTAAAGAGCTCTTTTGGGAGGTGACAAGTGGTATCGAGCAAATTACTGTCTGTCATGTATGTGGACTCTCTATGGTCCAGTGAAACCCTCGGTGGAGCTGATCAACGATGAGGGCGTCAAGTAATTGGGTGGAGGATAATGTCACAGACAAAAAATCCCACATTAGCTAGGTGTATGACTGAAAAGCAGTATTCAAGTCTTGGTCTGCCCACCACTCCGAAGAGCTCTTTTGGGATGTGACATTAAAGTGGAAAATGAAAAAGCGCGAAGAGGTTATAAAAAGTTGATTTTAAGAATATGTTCAATATTTTTTTTAAAAAAAGGTGGCTTCGAGGGAATTTAAATAAATTGTATCTTCTTAAAAATTATAATTTTAAAAGATTATTTTTTATTTTTATCAACACTTTAAATAAAAACTTAATTAAGAATAATTAAAAATTTTAATTTTTATCATTGTTAATAATTATGGTAAAAGTATTGTATTATTAATATTCATATTTTTTTAAAAAAACAAACCTATCATTTTCTCAATAGAAAGGAAATCTTATTTTTATTAAAGAACAATACAAAGTAAGAAAATGAAACTAATATCAGTATATCATAGCCAAAAATTGAATAGGATTGGTTACAAACCCCTTGGATTTATTGTAAGATTGACGTAATATTAATTATCTATGCATTGCACTTATTTTGAAGCATATTCAAAGATCCGAAAGTCCATTTGTTGCCACATAAGATATACCAGTTGATATGGTATGTACATAAATCAAACAGAAGAACGATCGACGAAGCGAAAAATAGAACTATATTAAATATCTAACACCTAAACTTCAGTTTTTACGGATATATTATCATACCTCTGCATAAAAATATGTATTTCACATTATGTTGTTTTGTAACTTAAATAGTGACAAATATATGTGATAAGAAATATTCGAGTGAAATAAATTTTAAAAATAAAATGAAGAGGTTAGATATGTAAATACATAGAAATTGGGTGGCATGTGTGTAAATCCCCTGATAATAAATCCTATATTCAAAGCAAAAAGATATTTTTTCATACAAGGACGAAATAAAAATGTTTTATTAAGCAAACGGCCGCATTTCCGGAAGGGCCCAGCAATTTGTTACCGGCCCAAAAGATGCAATTCTTCGTGTCAGCTAAAAGTCCACTGCTCCCTCTTTGCCGGCACATGGATGCCACTTGACCTCATGGAAAATTTTTACAAAGCACATATATTTGCATTTCCAAAACCTAAAGTTAATTTTTTATATTTGTACCACCTATATACTTAACATAACATGACAAATACTACATTTTTTTTCTTTTAAAGGGTAGAATATACCTTATCGTGTATTAATAAGATGCACTCGGATTAATAACTATACAATTTTACAGAGCATCACCCTTATTCTACAAATCAATACGACAATGACCAATACACACAGGTGTGTGTGTCTGTGTGTGTGTATATACACACATCAAATAATGTGTTTATGTTGATCCCAATAACGTACAGAAGAAAGAGAGTGTAACAAAGAAGAGGCTTCTGACAGAAGACCAAGAAGCTCACTTATTTGACTAGATGCATCCACTTGAGCCAAAACTAAAAGCCGATCGAGCCAAGAGAATGACAAAAGGTCAACTGGCTAATAGGAATCCAAACTATTAGATTAAAACAATACATATAAGCATCCAACGAACCATCATAAGAAAGTCAACTTAATTTAGTAACCTATATTCCGGTCAATTCGACTAGCTGAAAGGCCAAGTTCATCGCATAGCTCTAGTCATTCCATGGACACCTCCAAGGCTCCTTGTTAATAATCAATAATTGATAATAAAACAAAGTCTTGTAGTTATTTCACAAGCTGTCCTTGTTGATGAATGAGCCACCTATCGAGTTAGGGTGATTCACCATCTGCCCCACAACTTAGTCTCGCTCATACGATAGGAGCTCCTCATCCGGCGATGAAGGGTCGACAACTAGACTAAATTAACTGATAGACAAAAGCCTAGTTGATCAAATCATTCTCGTTGACCCAAAGCTAATCAGACTCAGACTATTGACAATGATGGTGCCTCAGCCTAGTCGATAGAGCCAATCTTATCAAGTCAAATCCATACTAGCTCAGCTGAAAGAGTTAGAGATCAGTCGAGCTATGGGCTCATGTATGCAAAATATCTAAAATATCTTGTCCAATCTGTCATTAAAGTGAGGGCAAAAATGTAATATCACTAGATTGTGCAATCTCTCTTATAAAAAGCGTGATCATTTTACTATAATAAGGCAATCGACATGACTCACTATTTAGTATTGTTCACTCGTCGCTATACACATATGTGAGTGTGACATGTGAAATATGGTCATGACGTTGAACAACATATTAAAATGGATTTCGTTAGAGTGAAAAACTCAGGAAGTTATGGTTGGCGAATAAC